TTGAAATTATTTCCGTATTTTTTTATCTTTTTCTTTTGCCAATTTTCGTTTATCTGCCCCACTCATATAAACTCGCTTTAATTTATGACGATCTTCTTCCATTTTTAAATTTTAACACTATTCACTAGTTAACTTATAATTTAAGAAACAAATAAAGTCTGTAACTATTGTCTATTGTGTATGGCGTATGCAACTGTTGTTAACTGACGTCTGACATGCAATAAGTGCAACGAACAAATAACGATAATTTATCTACAGACAGATAGTCTGTAATGTGTATTTTATATTTCCGGAAACCCACATGTGTATATTTAGAATCACATTTACTACGTCCTTTTCACGAAAAATGTCCCTCGACGTTAGCGCGCCTGGTGACGGTATTTCTGAAAGCCAGTGGTTCTTAATATTGTCCGCTAGAGAGCCGGTAGCTCTACGACACAGCTGTTGTTCGACCACCTGCTATTACAGCTGCCGGTCGAATATATTGTACCAAACATTTTTTATACTCCATAGTTTTTTCTTTCCGTAGAATAACAAAATAAGATACTTTTTTTGCCATGGTTACACGTCACTGTAGCGTCATATCGTAATATAACGTCCCATATCAATAGTGTGGTTATAGTCACTGTTTATACCACGTTAGTCTGTGTTCATACTTCGTATACGCAGTGATATTCTATTCGCACACTTTTTATTATTTAAATACCATCGACAAATTGTTTAATTTTTTTTTTTAAATGTCTTCACAGTGTGATACACATTCCCAGACGAAAAAGACAATTTTCAATGTGTATAAATATTTAAAAAAATTATCATTGGATACGTCTAATCCGGAGATAGCTACTTTTTTTGAACAGACACAAGCAAAAACTGCTGAAGCATGTGGTGTAAGTGAGAAAACTGTGAAACGTATCACAGCGGAAGGAAACAAATCTTCATCTGAATCACAGGCTGATTGCCCATCGTTCACTTCCTCATGAAAAACTTATAAAAGGATAAAATTTGCAAGTGAAGTTGACGGTTTTGATGCGGATATTGTGAGAAGGATCGTTCATGATTTTTACGATAAACGTGAGTACCCTACCACATCAAATATTTTAGCTGAATATAAAAAAAGAACTGAGTACAAGGGTTCTAGTACTTCGATGTGGCGCATTTTGAAAAATCTAAATTTTAAATACAAAAAATGCAATGACGGGCGTCGGTTCTTAATGGAGCGAAATGATATTGTAGCTATACGAGTTAAATTTTTGCGTACTATAGTTAACCTTCGCCAAAATAATGATACTCGGCCCGTTATATATTTGGACGAGACGTGGGTTAATCAGAATCATACCAAAGGGTACATTTGGCAGAATGAATTTAATTCAGAAGGCCTTAAAGTACCTACAGGAAAAGGGAGTAGATTGATTATTTGCCACGCAGGTTCAAGTTCATTCGGATTTGTACCTGGATCAAAGTTAGTTTTTCGATGCCAAAGCGGTACGTCTGTAGATTATCACTCTCAAATGAATTCTACTATTTTTAAAGAGTGGTTTATACAAATGTTACAACATTTAGAAGAACCTTCAGTAATCGTGATGGACAATGCACCATACCATTCAGTTCTAGCAGAAAATTATCCAAAGGCAAATGAAAGAAAATCAAATGTACAAAAATGGCTGTCTGAAAAAGGGGTTGAATATTCACCAGTCGAAACATTGAGTGAATTGCGTGAAAGGGTCAAACAATTGGTACCCAGACAAAAAATATATGAGCTTGATCAAATCGCGTTGGAAATGGGACATGAAGTCGTGCGTCTCCCACCTTACCATTGCCAATATAACCCAATAGAACTCATATGGGCACAAGTAAAAGGGAATGTCGCCAAAAAAAATGTCTCATTAAAAATAGCAGATGTTGAAAAACTTGTTAACGAAGCGTTGGATGCCGTGACCGTGAATAGTTGGAAAAAATGTGTAAGTCATTGCGAAAAATTGCAAGAAGAGGATTTTATAAAAGAAGGCTTACGTGACGAAATTTTGGAGCCAATAATAATGACCATTAACCCAGACGAAGATACCGACGATTCAGAAGATGAAGATGACATAAGTTTAAATGAAAATTGTGATTTGTAAAATATTGTGTTATAATTATGTATATATTTTTTAATGTTAGATAAATTAATTTTATTTGTATTTGCAAACAAATAAAAATCGTGATAAAAAATTAGCAAAACTGTTCATAATTTGTATTAAGAAATATTGCATTTAAATAACGGCGTAAAAAATAATCATATTTAAGATAAAATACAAATGAGTAATTAATTTAAATTTTCCGCGCTTTGTTTCGCGCGTGTCTTAGAGCCCCTGCGTCAAAACGTCCACCAGGCGCGCTAACGTCGAGGGCAATTTTTCGTGAAAAGGACTTATAATATTATTACAATCGACGGTGCACACCGTCGCGGACGGCATAAATGTTCTTATCTTGATTTTTAGAGACCATTCATTGTCAATAAACGTAAATACATCTATTATTAGTTAGTAAAATAAAAAGTTTTAAATTTCCAAAAAAAGTTCAATATTATTTAATTAAATATGTGTAAATATAAATAAAATATTTTTTCTGTATTCTAATTTAAATATCATAAAATTGTGGGGGCCCCGAATTTGTGGGGGCCCCTGGGCTGCAGCCCACTCAGCCCTCCCCTAAATCCAGCCCTGCTGGTTGGTTAGGGATTTTTAAAAAAATGTTATATTATAATATAGGCTGAAATAAACACGGTCAACGAGGGGGGCTAAAGCCCTCTTATAGGCCTCTTGGCTACACCATTGCCTAGTATACGTCGTCATATCTTTGGGCTGCAGATTGGCTGAACGAATAGATTTTTGTCGAGCCGTGACACGTTCTCGGTATAGGCAAAGACGAAAGAATAGATAGCACTTTAAAATTTATCTAACAAAGCCATGACCTATAATCTTTATTTATATTTATTTAATATTATGGACATTATTACCACAACATCGTCCGTACCTAACACGTCGTGACCGGGCAGTCGAGTACTACATAGAAACTAACCAGTAACCTATTCTTTATAATCGTGCTGTGAAGTAAAAAAGACATAATACCATATTGCTATTAATTATTGCATTTAGATAAAATAGGTATCAAATAATTATATTATATATTTAGTTTCACCAACCAGTCATTTATAGCTGAGTTGACTTATATTTAATTTCAAACAAATTTCGGGCAATCCCAATAAGCAAACCGGTGGTAATTTAATTATTTAAAAAAACTCATGTTAACATTTTATGATGTTTTGATGCTGATTATTTTACTCCAAAAAATAAAAACTGCAAAGTAAATTTTTTTTTCCAATTTACCTTTAATTTAATATCCACATGATATTGACATTTGTGTCATAATTTCATGTATTAGTAATATGTAAAAAAATTTTTTTTTAATTTTGTTATTATTATATTTTTATTGTGTTAAAAAATATGTTTATTTATGTTTAACTCATATATATATAATTATAATTTATAATTATTAGTAAGTCTATGGTTTAACTCCTTTTAAGAAATACATATGCAATATAGTAGGCAATATTGTGATTACTGCCTTATCAGAAATCAGGAAGTGATAAACTGATAAGCGGCAAATGACAATATTGATTATTGAATATTGTAAATTGTAATTGTAAACGTCGATTATAATTGCAGAGTGCAGATAAGTATATAAAACTCTCCAGTCACCAGTCTTCACTGTCTTGCAGACAAACGAGTAATAATTAATATTGTAATAACGTGACAAGTGACGACTAACAATATTGTAAATCGGCAAAATACACAATATTATACATATTAATATTGTGGATTTAATTACCTTTATTGTTGCCAAACAAATATAAATTTTGTCTTGATTGAGATGATTTTGGGATTCTATTAAGTCTGTTATTAATTTATTAAACAATTGAAATACTGCATCAAATATTGGAGCCTTTTGCAATCAAAATCTTTGAGCTGCTGAACGTACGTAATCATATTATAAGGATTATAAGGTATGGATATATCTACTATCTACTTTTTTAATGGTACTATGTTTTTATGTTTTGGTCGTAGCCCGTAGGTTTTCCAGTAGGTAAATCACAATTTACAAATTATACTTGTAAATATAATATTAAGTTTCAATATTGTTTAGAAATTTCCTTAGTGTTACATGGTGTATACACTTAATATTTATTTGTATTTTAGTCTCATTCTTCTATAATTTGATTTTATGAATACTGTTGAAGCCAGTGGCCAGGTGAAGGTTGATTTTGAAGCCTGTGCCTCAACCAAAATCAGGTCTGGCATTGTTGGCTGTGTAAGATCAATGATAGAAATAATTTTGAGGTAGTAAACTAATAGTTAATACAAATATTATAAAATATTATACCTACATTCAACTTACCGTGCAACCTATAAAAATGATTTTCATGGTGACTACTTGATAATCAATTTAGTCCACATTCGGCACATTCTATGACATTCTAACACTTTTGGAATGTTTTTATTATGTTTGGTTTTTACTCGACTTCTGTAGTCTGAATGAGAAGGATTGAGTGCAACAAAGTTTTAAAACAAGTAACAAAGAATAATTATTTATGAAGTGGACAAGTTAAAATTATTCAAAAATATACAGTTAGGTACTTGTACTTTAAATAAATGATAATTTTAGTTGGAGTCAGTAAAAAAAAACCCAAGATCACTACTGATTTGATCATTAGGGGATGGTGATAGTGGTAGGTATAGAAAACTTCTGGGCCTCACCTAAAAAAAATGTTCTACTTGCCACTGGTTGAAGGTATTATGTTATTGTTTTTGTTTAACGACATCTAATATGCATGCATTTTACACAATTGTAAAATATTTTTGATATTTTTGTTTTCTGTGTTGAAATTTAATTTTATAGTTTTACCAAAACTGCAAATCCATTAATACAATTTGATAATTTTTTTATGTTTTAGTTAACAAACAATGGACCAAGAAAATATAATACACGGACCTGCAATTCCTGATTATTTGTTAAACAGTAAATCAAATTTAAGTCAGCTCTTTACTCGATTACTCAATGAAATTGGACATAAAACTGCGATGGTATGTTAACTTTATTAATACTATAAGTAGAAGGATAATTATTGAATCTATTATTGATAAAAGAGACAGATGGAAAAATTTGGTAGAAGCAGCAAAGGCCTTAATGGCCTGTATAAGCTAAAAAAATTATTCAATCCTTGTAATATTTGAGAAACCAACCGATTCCGTGATATAAATTTTATAGGCTGACATATCCTATGTAACCTAACTAAAAAATCTATGTTCCATACAAAAAAAAAAATATAAAGTTCCGTTTTTGTATGACGTGTACTATTTTATTAAAATAAATTATACAAACCAATTTTAATCATGTCATTAGGTATCATTACAACATTATCTAATCAAATCATTTGGTTACATTTAGCACCGAGTAAATTCCCAATTCGCTCAATCTCCTTTCGGTTAAAGTGTGTTTCAATTTGAAGATGGTGCCATAGCTGATACATATGTGAGGATCTTCTCTTTTCACAAAAATTTGGTGAGCGATGTTTGTTTGTCCCATAGGCGAAATTAGAGTAAAAATATTGGGGGGGCTTCAGCCCCTCTCATATATTGTTCAATCACTGACTCTCAATATTTTATCACAAACAACTGCGGCGCGTTTATAGATAATATACTAGGTGCACGCTATAATATTGTGTTACTAAAATAAAATAAAAAAAAATGTATTTTATAATTTTTTTTTCAGTAATTATCACATATATTTTTTTTTTATTTAGCAATATAAATAAAATAAATATAAAGTTCTGCATGATTTTTTTTTTTGTAAGGGGGGGGGGGGTTTGGATGGTTTTGGGGGAGCTTAGCCCCTCTAATTGAGCCTATGGTTTGTCCTATTCTAAGATGGTTAAAGGCAGTCTAGTGTTATCAAGGAAAGGCCAATTATAGGTGGCTCTTTTATTACACTCTATTATTTTATTTGTTTATACTTACTTTTAATGAATAAATTATGTAAATTAATATGCATTTAATCATTATTAGTTATAATTAAAGACCGGATTTATATGTTTTTACATATCGTTACTGGGTCTATGCAGTCTTATGAGAGTAAAAAATGTGGACGGTTCGATCAATTCTGAATGCGTAGAAAAAAGTTTTTTTTGCATATTTGAGAATATTTAACCCATTTAGCATATTTTGGAATATTTCCTAAATTGTGAGCAAAAATTTGTATTTATTTTTAATTTTAATATTACGGTACACAGAAAAAATTTTATTGAACATTTAAAAATTTTTTTTTATATAATTTCCAACTCTTACTAAAATGCAATAGTACTCCATTATAATACGCAACTTTTAATACCTAATTAATACCTCACTATTAAAATTATGTTGAAAAAATTTTTTGCATATTTTTGTTTATTTATGCATATTTTAGGTATTTTAAGAGAATATTAATCCGGTCTTTAGTTATCATAAATGGGTACTGGTTGATGCAATTCAATAAAGTATTCTCCTGCCACTCGGGTTTAGTTGATGCCCACCACTTATATCTCTCATATTTTTTATGTTCTAATAGGTATACTGTATTTATACTTTATAGTTTATACATTTTAAATTAAAATAATAAATACAAAAGTAAATATTTAAATACTTTAATAGTTTAGACAATGATGAAATCCAACAAAATAATTTAATTAACTTTAATAATGGTCCACAATTAAATTATAATAATCAAATTCATTATTAGAATATATTTAATTACCTAAATAATATATGATATCAAATATTATTAAATTCAGCATTAATTCTGTGAATGAATAAAAATGTAATAATAAGTACCTACTTAATAACTGTTAATTAATTAATTAATAATTAGTAGTTAATAATCAAACATGTATGGGATACTCAATAAATAGTTATATTTTTCTTTTTGAACAATGCATTTATAACTTTTTTGTTTATGATATATAAACAGTGAATATTCAATACTATAACCATTATTACTTACTATATTTATAAATACAATTTTATACCTACCTATTTCCGATTATTATTATTTATTTTAATAAAATTCATTTTTACAAATCCTAAATCTTTTATTTTTTAGAAAATAATTAACTTAATGTGAAAATAAAACAATAACAAATGATTAAAACAATGGAAATACAAAAGAAATGTATCATTAACTAAACCATTGTACCGTTGATACTTTATAATTTCTAGGTTGATATTCATGATGGGTCTTCAATCACATTCAGTAAAATTTTACACGCAAGTTTCAATATAGCAAACTACTTAAAGTATGAGTTTGGAGTACAAAAATCTGATATTGTTGGAATATTTAGTGAAAATACAATTTGGTATCCATCTCTTGTACTGGCAGTATGGCATGTTGGCGGTATTTGTGCATTGTTCAATCCTATGTATAATACTAGTAAGTTTGAAATTAATTTAAATCATAAGTATTGAGTATGCTTACAAGTTAAATTGAGATATACCTAAGTGGTAATTGATAATTTTACTCATTCTGTATAGTTTACTAAACACGTTTTACTTCAGAAATGTTTGTTTTTATGGCATCAATCTTAGAACAATTTTTACAAGTAGGTTTATAATATAATATTCATATATTACATTTTTATTAGTCTACCAAAGTATTTGAAATAACGATTAAATTCTAATAATTTAATAGATGTTTTAATATTTGTTATATTAACAGACATTATGTTCCTTTATAATTAATATGTTTTGTAATTATAGATCAAAATCTACCAAAAATCTACTAATAATTCTATTCCATATTAAAATTTCAGAAACATTATATCATTAATTTTATTATGATTTTTGTTTTCACCAGAGGAATTAACACATGTGCTAAATATAACTAAACCAAAAATTATGATAACATCAAAAATGGGGTTGGAAATTGTAAGAGATACTGCCAAACCACTGGATTTTATCAAATATATTTGTCCTATTGATATTCTGTGCAATACTAGAATAATTGAAGAAAATAATAACTTTGTACCAACTCCATGCGACAATAAACAGACCTGTGTGATATTATTTTCTAGTGGAACAACTGGTTTACCTAAGGGAGTAGAGTTGTCACATAAATCTCTATTTCTTATGGTTTCTATCTTAAAGTTAGTATGATAAGTAATTTATTTCAATTCATTTATATAAATTATATATAATTATTATATACTTTACAAGTTTATCAATGTGTTATGACTTATGTTGTATATGGTATATTTCAACAATTGCATAACTTAAGTACTTTGAAAGTTATTAAATTACTCGACTAGTGTATCAGATGATGAAATAATTAATATACAATAAAATACCATAAATTAATGCTAACAATACGATAAAAACAAAAACAAAAAATATTCTTTTACTAGGTCTAATCAATAATTTCAAAATAGGCTTATACTTCATATTCTTTGAATTTATACACATCTAACTATCTCTAACTATCAATGTTACTTAATTTAGAATATCATAGTAGGTATAATATACATTAGTACATTATAGTATTATACAATATACATAATACATTTAATGCTAGTATATCACCACTGTTTAAATTGTATGCTACAAATAATATTAATTCAATGATATTCTGAATTAATCTAAAAAAATTGTAATGTATTATTTTTAACGTTGACTATTAATGCCTATTCTATAACAACTGCCGGAGCAAATAGTACCTACTGTGTGTGAGATTAATTTGTATAAATAGATAGTATGTATCATAGAAAATGTGACCAAGCTAACACTACTATCAGTTTAGTATAATCATGTTTCTCCTTTATTGATATGTACATTGCAATATTGCATTGTGAAATTACCCTATTGCTTAACTTTCGAAGTTATGCATTAAAATATATTTTACATTTTTAATTTTTAGTTATATTGATAAATTTACAACTGAAACTGATACTTTGATGGGTCTAGTACCTATGTTCCACGGATATGGATTACTGGTAATGTGTATGAGCATGTCAATTGGCAGTAAGGTCATAGTGCTTAAATATTTTGATGAAGAATTATTTTTAAAATCTATCGAAGTTCAAAAAGTATGTATAACATTTATTAGTTTTAATTAAATTGTCAAATGTGTAGTTAATTGTTTTATATTCACCAAGATTACAGTTTTATTTGCTGTACCACCACTGATGATATTTCTGGCTAAACACCCTTTAGTAGACAAATACAATTTATCATGCTTGAATGTTGTATATTCTGGTGCAGCTCCATTATCTTTAGACATTGAAAATGAAGTAGTCAATAGGATAGGTAAAGGTAAACCATTAAAAGTATTACAAGGATATGGAATGACTGAATTATCTATTTTATCAACATTTCCTGGACAAAATGAAGCTGAACATGTTAGCGGTTCGGTTGGGAAATTGATATGTGGCATGTCAGGAAAAGTTAGTTGTATACATAATGAATTAAATTATTAAAAATTAAAATTAACTGAAGTTGACATTCATTATTAAATAATTGTAGGTGATTGATTTAAATAATGGCAAATCATTAGGAGTAAATAAAAGTGGTGAACTGTGTTTCAAAGGGCCCATGGTCATGAATGGTTATTATAAGAACCCTGAAGAAACAACAACAACAATTGATAGTGAAGGATGGCTTCATACAGGGGACGTCGGATACTTTGATAAATATTATAATTTTTATATTGTTGATAGACTCAAAGAACTTATCAAATATAAAGGATACCAGGTACTGAATTATACTTTATTTTATGATGTTTTTGTGTTCATATTATATTTCTTCTATCTGTAGGTGGCACCTGCAGAATTAGAATCACTGTTATTAACACATCCCGAAATTGAAGACGTGGCAGTTACTGGACTTCCAAATCTGGAAGCTGGAGAACTTCCAATGGCGTTCGTAGTTAAAGTACCTAATTCAGCTCTCAATGAGAAAGATGTTGTACAATTTGTTCACAGTTGAGTAAACTAATTTAATATATAACATTTGATATTTTACTGATTCAACTTACTTATGTTATGCTATTGTTTTTTAGAAAATGTCTCTGCCCAAAAGCGTCTCAGAGGAGGTGTTCGATTTGTGAATAGTATTCCGAAAAATCCAAGCGGTAAAATTTTACGCCGAGTACTTAAAGGCTTAATTAATCAATCAAAATTATAAAAACGAATACAGTTATATTTTATAGAAGATACTTAGTGTACTATGTGGTCATGTAGACAGTTTATTTGAGGAAAATATTGAATTTTATGTTTACAGCTTTAATATTATTTTTAGTTTTAATAAATATGTTTATAATTTATGCAAAGCTGAACAAGTTAACTATATTAGTTAAGCTAATATAAAAAAAATTAAGTTAACTTTAAAGTTCAGCCAAAAGTTACTTTTACAAGAATAAAATATTTTTCCTTATAACTATCTCTTATACACTTAATTGGTAATCTAATGACATGCTCCAAAAAAAAAAAATTAATGAAAATTTCAAGTTAGAAATTCATAAATAATTGTCTCTTTAAATCTAAGATTTGAAAATGTAATACAAGATTCTTCATAAGTTTTTCTACCTTTATCAAAAAAAAAAAAATGTCTATAAGACAGTCAAATTAAATTTTTATGAGCGTTTGAAATTCAAATTTTTACAACATTGGATATTCACTCAATTTCTCATGTAACAATTTTCTTATTTTGTTGTAATTAAAAAAACGAACGACTGTAGATACTTGAAAATTTCACTGAATGTTTATATTAGCATTTCCTATACACCATACAATTTTGAAAATATTTTGACTCTTTTTGAGCTGTTTACGGACATTTCCCATTTTCAATTTTTTTAGTTTCTTTTTCTATTAATATTAATAAAGTTATCAGTTGAAAAATATTTTAATTACATAGGCAAAGTTGTTTTTTATAAACATTTAAAGATCGAATTTTGACAAAATTTAAAATTGAATACTGTTCTGTTGTATGGAACCCCTTTACTGATAATTGGGTAAATAAACTTGAAAGTATCCAAAATCGCTTTCTAAAATTTTTAGCTCCTAAATTAAGATTACCAATTAATAATACTTACAACGTTGCTAAACAATGTGGCCTAGATCCATTATCTAAACGCTAAATATATATAAACTTATTAATAACCAAATTGATTGTCCCGATCTATTAACTAAGATTAAATTTAAAGTACCTACATTCAACTCTCGAAATCACTCTTTGTTTCATATCGACTGCCACCGCCAGAATTACAGTTACTATAGCCCTTTAAATCGTATGTGTATGTTCTGTAATAAATTTACAAATTTTGATTTTTTTCATGATCCACCAGGTTTACTATATTCTTTATCAACTATGTAATGTAATTTATTGTACATGTTATTTACTGTAACCTTTGCTCATCTTGGGCGTAATTAATTAATAAATAAATAAATAAGTACACTATTATATATTTATGATAGTATTAGGGTTCGTTGTTGATGTATAACGCGTTATAAGTAGGTACCTAATGGATATTATGATATGATTAATTTGGAATTTATTATAGGTAAATTTTTTTTAATATCATGGATAAGTATATAATATGTCTCATACCTAGACTGACATACCGTCTCCGCTCAGAATCGTTTTTCTTATACAATGATATTATATCATTGAATTCAAATTTAATACCATCCATTATACAGTGACCCATTTGTAACCTAATTTACAGCAGAGCACCTTTTTAAACTTTGAGAGTGGTTTTTAGTAATTATTACCATCAAGTGGGACTTTGAAAGGTCAAAAGTAAAATTTCTCAGTACTTTTATAAATAATTGGAAAAAACAAAAAAAAATATAAGAAAAGCTTGAATCTTTACTGCATCAGTATTTGACAAAATTGATTTTGTTTTTTTCAGTGTAACTCGAATAATAACCATATAGATACTTAAAATATTTATATTAATATTTTCTATACATAGTAAAAATGTTCATAATATTTCGATTCTTTTTAAGCTCTATGTTTATTGTTGAATGTATATAATACACTTTAAAACTTAAATTGTTGATGTTTTGTCTATAAATATTTTTGATTGGTAAAAAAGCTTGAAAATTTAATACAAGCTCCTCGTAATCATTTATTTTAGTTATTTAAAAATATAAAAGATACAAATTCACGGTTTTTATATAAGTATTTTAAGTTAAAAAAATTAGTAAAAATTAAGAGAACCTATATAACTGTGTATATAACCAATGAAGACCTAAAAATATAGACACGCTCAGAATCGTTTTTCGTACACAATGATTTTGATTTATCATTGAAGTCAAATTTAACCCATACATTATAGTGACTTAATCCAAAATGACGAGGTATACTCGACACTCCCTACAACTGTACAGCAGAGCGTTTACGTACTTACCCCTTTTTAAATTCCGAGCGCAGAGCTGAATATGTTGATTTTACAATGATGTGTGGTTTTTAGTTGTTTTTTTTGTGTCTCATCATCTTTTGAGACATTAGAAATGCTTTCTTCAACACGCCTTCTCTGGTAGTGAAGTGAATCTACAGTTAGTACTTCGTGGGATAAAAATAAAAATTCCCAATACTTTTCAAAAGTGTCTAGTAAAACAAACAACAAATTAAGGAAAAACAGATTTTTACGCAAAACCAATTGCATTTTTACGAATTTGTTTTTTGACGCAACTAAAAAAAAAAATAACCGAATACAGGTAGATGACGTTTTCACTGAATGTTTATATCAGCAATTTCTATGCACCATAATATTTTCGGTCTTCGTTAAAAACCTTTTAATTTCGATTGCTTTTCATAAAATAGGTAGGTACCTACTTACACTTAATTTTTCATAATTTACCTACATCGACTGCGTAATGGTTACTATAGTGGAGTAATCGTCAAATTCGTAAGATCTCGGAGTGGGTAATCTTCTTCGCCGGCACGACGATGTCGAGGAAGTTAGATTAGTTTGAATCTTAGATCATATATTGTATATGATCTAAGGTTTGAATAGTACCTATGTTGACTATAATTATGAGTTTGACCACTCATTTTTAAAAAGGACGTGAAGTCTTATATTGTAATATTAAGAAAAAAACCATCTGCTTATGTCGTACTAATAAAACTAATAAATCCAGTACCTATGCTCAGTATTGCTTAGACTATTAAGATTTAAGATCCTTCACCGCTTATTATAAATGATAAAATGTTACACTGGACAGCCGACTGTTCGACACTTTCATTTCCAGAATAAAATCCACGTATAGTTTATTTTATTTCCAATGACAAAACTTATTAATTATCATGTATAAAAAATTACGTACTTGCCAATATTAAAATGAAATATCACAAATATTGACATTCAGTTAATTTTTAAATGTAATAACATAAAAGTAAATATTTTTGTATACCTACCCAACAAGTACGGTGAAGAAATGAGTAAATTAATTGTTTAAACAATATTATTATGGAGTAGGTATAATACCTATGCATTTATTAAAAAACCGATAAAATGTTATGAATATTCAAAAAAATATCTATAAGTAAATTTAACTTTACAAAAACAAATACATATTTATATAATCTGTTAATAATTGCAAATAACTGTCTGGTTCGATAGTTCGAGACGACATTTAAAAAAATAGGTACATAATATTATCGAATTACAATTATACTAATATAAGTTACGGCAAACAACGTTTTCATTGATTGTGGTGTGTTTATTCGGATAATTTAAACTCGGTATGCATCTGTTTTCATGTGCACACCGCAGATCATCTAATTGTTCTGCACTCGTATCTCTGATGTAGCTTATGCCGAGGGCAGACGTTTTTACATGCGCACATCGAGCAGTCTAAGTGCCGCAGCGTTGGCACTCCAACTTTTATCCCATAGCTTGACCATCGGATGAAAACAAACGTGCCAACGCTGTGGCGAATTGACACTTAGATTGCCCCATGTACGCACATAAAAACGGTTGGCCTCGGCGTAGAACTGCCACAGGAACAGGACAATCACATATTCTGATATATGCGCATGAAAATGGATGGGTGGAGGGTTAAGTTACCGTGACCGCATGGTCGGAGGTAGACGCTAAAGAATTTGAAGGTGAGTGCGTTGCGGCCCGAAGTATCGAGCGGCCATCTTGAAGTCTATTCGACCCATATTGATCTGTACACGAGCGAACACTGCCAACAAATAAATATAATAATCAATACATTATAAGAGGGATACGGTTTTAAATATTATATTGATAGGATAAGCCGCGAAATAGTGCGAATGACGTGATCAAGATATTATTTATAGACAACGGTAAGAAAAAACACTTAAATCCAACTGTCGCTAGCATCACGGAAACGCACGACAATAAACGACGAGACTTACTTGGTTTGTAATTTTGAAGTTCGATGCAGCTGGCATTCCTCATAATATGAACAAAATATATTCGACATTCGGAAACCCGACCAAGGCAATCATCGTGGTACAATCGATTGTACGACGACTACTTACCCTGGTCGGAACCGAATGGCAGAATTAAACTCCAAGACGATTGACAGCAGGCAGAGACGGCACTCAACCGGTGCTAGGCAGAGCGAACGGGCATGAAATGACGACCAAATAATGATCGCTAGGTTACTACAAGCATATTTTATACTTCCCCAGACTTGGGAGAAAAACTAATATCATGGAAAACTCATGAAAAACTGTTATTCTCACTACAATTACATAGGAATTTTACTGTTTCTGCCCAGTCTGGGGAAAATGTGCAGTGATGGGAAAAGTTGGTTCTTTGGTGATCATGCCTGTTTGTTTAGTCTTGCATGAAAAGAAAAAGTGTCGTCGTGTCGGTCGTATACTTAGATCATAATATACATGTATATGATCTAAGGTCGTATACGATTTTATTTTTACGTTAGGTGGTTGAGTGTACTTTCCCGAAAAAATTATATTTAATAATGATTGATGAATAAAATAATATAAAATATAATAAATAATCAAAACATTTTTCCTGCGATGATCCAATCGTGAAATTTGAACCATTTTATTCGTAAATCGTGATTATTTAAGCAAATTCTAACTATATTATTCTGATTAATTTGTATTTGATTTAAAAAACAATCAGCCGATCCTCCCCAAATTAATAAACCATATTGAAGTATGGATTGGTACAACGCAAAATAAACTACACGCATTGTGTGTTTAGGTACCAGCTCTTTTAATTTATAGAATTTATAGGTTACCTGACGTAACTTTCCTACCAAATTATGAATGTGAAGATTCCAGCGTAAATTATTATCAAAAATGATACCTAAATATCGCGTACTTGAAACTTCTTTAATAGTTAAGCAAATATTTAAGTCACTACAACTCTTACCATCGTTACATCTACCTATGTATTTTAATATGATTAAGTGTTTGGAAACTTTTATAAATTGAAAAGAACATAAACACTGATTTATTTTTGTTAAGCGTCATATTTCTGTCACATAGGATTCGGTATATATTATTTAATCCAACAGTTGCTTTATGATGAACGCCGGTCCAAGTTTTATCGGTAAAAAGCAAGCAGGTATCGTCAGCGTAAGAGACCACCAAACCATCAATAATTAAATCACTTACTGCGTTGATATATAATAAAAATAAAATTGGACCTAAGACGCTAGTAGTACCTTGAGGGACTCCATATTCAATTGAACCTACCTGACCAGTAATGTCATTGATCCTGACCATTTGTTTTCTGTTCGTTAGGTAGCTTTTAAACCAATTAAAGCTATGATTATTAATACCGAAGTTCGGAAAAATTTGAAATAAAATGTTATGATTGACAGTATCAAATGCCTTAGTTAAGTCCAGGAATACGGCAATTACTTTATTACTGTTATCTAATTCTCTATAAATAAATTGAGCTGTTTGATATAATGCATCTTTTGTACCTATACGGCTATACCTGGTCTAAAACCAAATTGGTTTTTTGATAAAAGTTTGTTGGCTTCTAGAAACGAAATTAATCTTTGTTTAATAATTTTTTCAAATATTTTCGCAAATTTAGTAAGCAAAGATATAGGCAATAGGCCTATAGTTATTAACATTTTTTTATCTCCAGCTTTGTAAATACTAAATAGGTTTGATCACTGCTAGTTTAAGATTATCCGGAAATATACCTTGCTGTATACCTACTCATATTGAAAATGTGCACAAGCGGATCTACAACAAGTTCGATAATATATTTTAATAACTTGCGGGTAATCCTATCATGACCAGCGGCTGTGTCATCTTTAAAGTTATTTACAATGTTGATAATCTCAGAGTTAACTATCCTTTCAGAAAAGGAATTATCAAAAGAAAAGTTATTACTAGCATTAATAGTTTCATTTTTCAGAACATAATCATCTTTTTCTGCTAATTTCTTTCCTATATTAATAAAAAAATTGTTAAAAATGTTTGAAACCACCGTTGGATCGTTGCTAGTATCAAATTGTTGGCCGTTGTTAATAATAGTTTTAATAGTATCCTTATTAATGTTTTTGGAGTAGGTGATTTCGTTAATAAGTTGCCAGGTTAATTTCGGGTTGTTAGAGATTGTTTTGAATTTATTCTCATAAAATTTCTTTTTAACCATTCTTAGAATCTGTGTATAGTTATTTTTGTATTTTTTATAGTGTATGGTTAATTTATTATTGTTTGGATATTTTTTACATTTTAATGCTAGGGATTGTTTGTGGTGAGTAGAGTTTAAAAGACCAGCTGTCATCCATTCTTTTAATCGCAAATTTTTGGATGTTATTTTTTTATATGTAGTCGATTTACGAATAATGTCAGAGATAACCGTCTGAAACTCTGAGTAACATTCATTCGCTTTGTTTTGGTTATACACCGCAGTCCAATTCTCTCCCTCTAGTAATGCTTTAATATTATCATAATCAAATCGAGAAACATAATTACTTTTATTTGTTAAGTAATTATTAATTGGTAGAGCGACACAAATTGCATAATGATCAGTAATATCTGTCTGTAAAATACCTGCATTAATTAGCGTAATTATATTTTCATTATTGTGGACAAATATGTGATCAAGGCATGAGTGATTTTGTAGTTTGGGTAATCTAGTAGGTATAAGAGTTAATAAAAGACGCAAAACCATTCTCTTATAATAAATTAAGATAATCATTATTTAATGGACTATGCCCTACTATGTTTATGTATTATATTGTTAAAAAGGTGGGCAAGTGGGTGTCGCTTTGCTGTACAGTAGGTTACAAGTGGGTCACTGTATAATGGATGATATTAAATTTGAATTCAACGATATA